AGCGCGTGAGCCACCGCGCCCGGTGCTTAGTTTTTTATTTTTTGGAAGCAGAGTCTGCTTGTTGCCCAGGCTAAGTGAGTGCCGTGGTGTCAGCCTCGCCATCAGCGAACGCTCAGGACTCCTGGGCCCAATGGCGATTCGCTCCTGCCTCAGCGCGCTCCGTCCCGAGGTAGGCTGGGGACTACAGCGACTGCGCCAGCCACGCGCCGGCTAATTTGTTGTGCGGATGAGGTTTAGTGGGCCCGAATAAGTTTCTTCTATTTAGTAGTAGAGACGGGGTCGCCGCGCTCGTGTGCTGCAGGCGCGTTTTGAACTCCGAACCGCGAGTGATCCGCCCTCCTCGGCCTCCCAGAGTGCTGATGTACAGGCTGACCACGCGCGCCCGCCTGAAAAGGCATTTCGAGGCATAGAGTTTCAAGGATTTTGACTTTCCGCATGTCTGAAAGTGCAAGTCGCGTGTCCCCCAGAACCCCAAAGGAAGTGCCGTGTGAAAAACAGGCAGGTTATTAATGCTTCTTTTCTCCCTGCTGAGGAAAGAAAAATGCTCCAGAAGGAGGCAGAATACTACCTTCCGATCGACATTGATGTCGTAAACGAGAGTCAGAGAATGCGGGATGGATTAGCGAGATGTGTGCTTGTCTAGAGCGCTACATGCAGGCAGTTCAGACATAAGATACCTACCAAAACTGTGTGGTTGCGTGTGTTAGAACCAGGTTATGTTTTGACCTGAACCTAGAACAGAGCAGGCCAGGTCTTCGTTCTGGTGCCGCTCTAAAATTTCAAAGAGCCTCATTCCCAAGTAATCGTTGGGATGATCACTGGAGCTTGAGTAAGTCAACAAAGACTGTTTTTTTTTTGTTCAAAGGAGGTTTTTCAGCTGTCCCTTGGGACCGATTGTCCGATGTACCGGTTACATAAGGTCACATGCTGGAGTGTTGTTTTGGAATGGCCTAGAGAGCCACTTTGGTGAAGCGTAAGGAATTAAACCATAGAGTGCGCTTTTGGCTCTCCCCTTGATAAAACCGCGTCAGGGAAACGCCGCGATGCAGGCCACAAGTGGAGTGCAACGCGAAGCAACGCCAAATAATGAAAGAAGGCGGCCCGGAAGAAGAGCAAGCTGGGAATGGCTATGAAAGTGAGGAGGTGGGAAGAAGAATTCATTTTCGCCAAGGACTCGGCTTATAGGCAATATTACCGCTCAACCAGAGCAACCTCGGCGCTTGCCAACAATTATAACCGAACTAATCAACCCCAGCGGTAGTTGAAAGCAGAATTGCAGAGCAAGTTGAGATAAAATTTTTGTTGAAGAAATAACGTGCCGTCTTTGTTAAACTTTTAAAAAAACCTGTGAAACCAGAAGAACCGAGCGGGTAACGACCACGCAGGCAAAAAAAAAAAGAAGGAAAAAAAAAGAACCAGCCCAATAACAGAACTTTGAGCAAGTATTCTGTGTATTTTCCACGCGAAGACGGAGGCCCTCCCCGAGTGTGCCAGACCAGATTTGATTTTACAGGCATGGCAAGCGTGGCATCATTAGCTTGCAACAAAAAAGATTGCCAAACTTGTCCAAGCCCAAACACCACCGCACGAGAAAGTGTGAGGCTGTGGCAATTAGCGCACGGACCGAAGGGATTATTGAGT